CCGCGGGCGGCGGTGCGCAGCCGGCCTCGCCATGACGGCGGAGGAGAAGCAGAGCCTGCGGTGCTTCAGGCGGTACATCGAGAGGATCCTGAACCCCGTGCACATCCTCGGCAACATGACGGACTGGCTGTCCGACGGTGAGAGCCGGCCGCGCCCCCCCCCCCCCCCCCCACCCCCCCCCCCCCCGCCCCTGCCCCTTCGCCCCTCACTGTCTGTGCTGGCTTCTCGCTAGAGGTGAAGGAGAGGGTCCGAAAGGAGGAGGAGAAGGGGGTGACGGCGGCCGCCGCGCTGTTCCTGGATGCCGTGCTGCTGCTGGAGGCGGAGGGCTGGCTGCGGGGCTTCGTGGATGCCCTGGTGGCAGCAGGTGGGTGCCACTCCCCGGCGGGGCTGTGTCGCTGTTCCGCCGAGGTGCTCCCGGGACCGGCTGGGGCGCTCCGCCCGCCGCCCTTCGGCTGCCCGTGCTGACACACCAGGTCAGGTGCGGTAGGAAAAGGCAGGCTGGCAGTCTGGAAACAAGCCTGCTGGGATGTGAAGCGGCTGGAACAATTCTGAGGATGGAGAAAGCCTCGTTGACAGGAGGCTTGTCTGTCTCAGAGCCTTTAGAGAAGAAACAAGAGTACCATTGTTCTCACCAAATACAACGGAAGGAGGCTAAATCCTCTGAAACAGAAAGCCAAATGGGTTTCAGGAAGTGCGTGAGGATTGACTGATAGGATGGGATAACTTAACGACAGAGCCTTAAATGACTTTTTAAAATATTTTAAATTACTCAGTGGCATTGAAAGTCTTCTGTTTCAAGAAGTAACCAACCGTTCGTAGTTTATAACATGACTGTTCCACAGTAGCTATAACTACTTGTTGTGTAAATTCCTAATCCAGTTTCCTTTATGAAATGGAACAGAAAAGATTGTGAAGGTATAAAATGAGCAGCAACTGCCAGCTTTCTTCTATACATGTATATTGTATCATAGATTCTTGCTGATGATTTATTAGATTTGTTGAATCCTACAATCTCATGTCAGATACTTTTGTTTTCATCTCCTCACCATTAATTGGGAATAATTATCTCAGTGAAAAAATATTACAAAGTTTCTTATCACTTGGATGTAACCCAGTCATACCTTAAAGCAAGCACTAGGTCCAGAGCAACCTTCTACCAGTCTGTGATAATGCTGATTTCTGAACTGTGGAACTATCTACTTTGAACCTGCTAGTAGAGTTCAGTTTGGTGTATCTTCAGCAAAAATCTGAGACAGTTAACCTGATGATTCAAAGTGCTATCCCAATTACTTGTTAATTGGGACAGAGACTAGAATTTAGAATTTCTCTTCTTTTTGGCAGATGCAGGGATAAGTAATACTTTTACTTCATACTATACGTTATGGTGGTAAGTATCCACACCACTCTCCTGCTCCTCTAAAAGGAATTAAGAAGTTAGGCAAATTCCTTTGGGAGTTCCTCTGGGACCCTGATCTGCTTTTTTCCACTTTGGAAGCCTACATGGCAAATCGCACAAGTCCTTAAAATATGTTTCCCTGTCTCTGTCTGTTCCAGGACAGTATTTTCAGCTATTTGATTACTATCTAGGTTGCAGGTGTCTGTACTGCTTTCGGTCAGGGACTGGCTTGAATCCGGTACAGGAAGGATTTTTGAAGGAGAGTGGAGTCAAGGACAAGAGTAAAAGATAAAATGCTGGTAAATAAAAGAAAAGGCAACCAAAGCATCTTGTGATTCTGAGTAGTGTCCTTTGCTCTGGGAATCCTGCGGAAGAGCATCATGGAATTTAAGAATTCCAAGGACTGTATAATTGAAAGACAGGAGTGGATATAGTTGTTTGGATGATGTGACCTATGACGTAGGTATTTATTTATTTATTTATTTATATTTGATTTTTTTTTCAGGTGCTACTGCTCTTTTAGCGCAGGTATTTCATATTAGATATAAAAGTGCTTGAAGGAAAACAGTGACTTTTTAGATAAAATTGTATGTGGTTCTCCTAGATTTTTATCATTTACAGGACAAAATAATTTTAATTTCTCTAGAGTGGCTGAGAAAATGTTTTTTCAGCTTGTTCCTACCTATTCTAGCTAGAGATTGAATTCACAGTAATGATTTGTCTCTTTTTCTGAAAGGTTACACTGGACTGGCAGAAGCAATTGAAAACTGGGACTTCAGCAAACTGGAAAAACTGGAGCTGCACAGGCAGCTGTTGAAGCGGATAGAAGCAGCAATGCTAGAAATTGATCCTGTAGCAATCATGCCATACATAAACACATGCCTGATAGACAGGGAGTGTGATGAGATCCTGCAGGTATGGTAAAATCATGGTATTGGCCTAGTTTTGATTCAGAGAAGTGCTGGCTGCTTCGCTTGTGGGATGAATCTGCACCTGTCTGATAGGCGGCTGGGTGAGGAGGATGGCTGGTCACAGGCCTGCTATAATTTCTATAGTTTTTCTTTTCCTGTTCTGAAATGGAAGGCTCACAGATTTATGGCAGATAGAGTTCATTGCAAGGACTTTGCCAGACAGAAATTGACAGAAAAGCTCTGTGATATTTCACGCCATTTACAAATATTCAAACAAAGCCTACCTATTATTATAGTCCAACTAAGTTGAGTGTGTAACTATACTGGCAGAATTGAAGCTGTACTGGGTAAATGGCTGCACCTTACTCTAAAGCTTTTTACTCATTGAGAAGGAAATGCAGTTTTCAACTGAACATCAAACATCATAAATTCACCTGCTAAGCAAAGAGCAGTGGGTTTGATTGCTCAGAACCGACAGCAGTTTCTGTTTGTGGTGTGCGCAGATCAGTGAATACAGAAGCAAAGCAGCCGGGATAACTAAACTCATTGAATGCCTCTGTCGCTCAGATAAGGAAAACTGGCCCAAAAGTCTTCAGCTGGCATTGGATAATGCAGGATATTACAATGCAAGTGTACTGTGGAATATAAGAGAAGGTAAAATGTGAATTGTTTTTATGACATTCTTTTCCTGTTCTTGTACCAGACAGTAATTTCTTTTTAGGAGAATCAGACTAATTTAGAAGGATACTGTCAGAATACTTTGTGGTCTAAAAAAAAAAAAAAAACCTCTTAAAAATTTATTTTAAATGTCTTTTATATAAAATTAAATACAAGTACTATCCTACAAACAGGCAGAAATTAGTCTTCGACTGTTTTTCCTCCCAGATGGTTAGTCATGGTACCTTTTTAAGGAAAGGAGACTCAGGCAGCATAGGCTCTGAAGGCATAAAAATACCCAAATAGTTATCTTCTTCCTTCTCTTCTTAACGCAACTTTTGCCATCTTTTTCATTGCTTGAGTTGTGACAGATGCAATATTTTCTGATAAAATATGACTAGTAATGTGATAGTCTAGAGAGTGATACACTTGTGTAATCCCCAGAGCAGATCATGTACCTTTTTCTACAAGAAATTGTCCTTACCAAGCGTTTATAATGATAAGCAGCCCTTACCAAGTTATTATGTTCATATTGTGCAAAACTGCAGAATTGTCCCTCATAAGATTTTGCTAAAGTCATTAAATTTACCTCCTTGAAAAACACTTCTATAAGTAACCTGCAGCATAACAGAATTTAGAGAATATATTATTTTGCTACTAAAAAAGTGATTTTAGATAAACTGGACTATATATCTTCGTATCTACATTTTGCTGTCTCCCTAGGTGCTTATTTGAATTGTTTTGTTAGTTAGCAACAGGGATAAGCTATATTTAAGTGGCTTCTTAAACTGTATTTCTTATTTTGAAATTTTTTTATTACTGCAGTCAAAGGGTGTAATTTCTTAACTGGAGAATTAACTATTATATATGCATAAAGGTGTGTATATAATTAATAAATTTATTAAAATATAGGTGAAATAATACATAATAGTAATACCTATACGTACATAGGTATTATTTTATGTAGCTGGTGGCTATACGTATTATTTGTTGACAGTTACATTTTTTAAGTTAAAATTATCACTGTCTTTTGGGGCAGCTTCCTCTGACATCCAGCTCAGCAAAGCCAAAGTAAGCCTACTGAAGAAGCATTGTCCATACTGGAAACAGTTTACTGCTGGCAGTTAAGAGGAGTTGATACCAGAAATTAATGGCAGATATTGTCTGCTTTCTGGAGCTGGACTGATGTGCAGATGTGCTCCTTCTCCCCCTCCAAAAGCAGTGCTTTGTGATCATATGTTGTTTGCAAAGAGACTCTTCATGCAGGGCCCAGGGATGGTTCTTTGGGAAAGTATTAATTATAACACCAAAGAAAATTTCTCTTTTGATCATTGTGTAATATAAAGAATAGAGATATTCTTACAATTTCTAGGTCCTTTCAGTAGGTGGGGAGAAAGGGAGAGCAGAATCTTGAATTTATAAAGCTTCTTTGAATTCATAAGAATTTTTCATGCTTGTGGTTAGTGTCCGTGTTACACAGTGACTACTTGTCACTAAACAGAAAGGATAAACTTTCCTCCCAGTCTGTTGTCTCCTTTGTTTTTCGGAAGTTGTTACACACTGTGAACGCATTGTGTTCTTCTAAAACCAAGATTCTCAGTGCTATCCGTCTTCTTTGAAAGGAGCCTGTGTGCACCATCATTTTTTGTAGTCTTTTTCTTCCAGCAACCAACTCCTTCACTTGTCATCACAGCAAATATGTTTTAAAATCATAAGTATCTATAACATGGCTTTTTTTCCGTTTATATAGATAATGGCAAAGATGTGGATAGTGAAATGACAGATGCCTCTGAGAATTACTTTGAAACCATGGTGACTTTTTCTGAAGAAGCAGAATGTGATAATCTCAGCAAAAATCTCTCTTCGGTTTCAGGTAGCTCTTAAGAACTTAAAAGTTTGTGGTTGATATTTTCCATTTGCTTAGATTCCCAAAGGACACAGATGTAGTGTGCCACAACGGAAGGTACTGAGGAATTAGTACAAATCTCTGACTTGATTTACCTGTCTTCTGTATTAACGTTCAAAGGATCTCATGCTGGGCACTGGAAATGTATGGGGTTGCCCCGCACTTATCACATTTCTAGTGAAGAGTTGTTCTGTCAGCTCATTATCAAAAAAGATCCCCTAACACCAGCCTGTTGTTTATGCACCTCTTCTCTAATTAATTCACGCATGACCTGATATTAACCGGTTTAGAGAACTGAATGTGGCTGCAAGGGATCTGTGCAGTGACTGTCATGGCAAATTTTGCTCCACCAGTAGTTTCTAGTTCCTGTTCCTTAAGTCCAAACACTCTGACAAGACCACAGTTTAAGAGAGTAATAACTTCAAAAGTCTGTAGAGCAGAAGGCTAAAATAAATCCTATGTATGTATTTGGGGAAAAATAATCCTTTGTGTTTTCATTCTGAGTTGAAAAGAAGACCAGTTGAAGTGAGCGTTGTCAACCAAGACCTTGAAATGAGTTTATTTTATGAATCACAGTTGAGGGGTAACAAAAGTGTGCCATCAAACTCACACAGAATTCTTATTTGGTGCATCTGTAATGTTCTGTGTAGACTGCAAGGACTCTTCTATCATTTTAGATAGCAACTATATGGCACAACATATTTTTTGCATTTTTATTGCAACACTCTTTGCAAAAACATTGTTTTATCCTAGAAAGTGTCTATGCATCTCCATCTGTTTATGAACCAAAGAAGGCTCGGAGCTACCAGATTGAGCTTGCACAGCCTGCTACTGATGGGAAAAACACATTGATTTGTGCCCCCACAGGTAAGGGGATAGACATTTCTTAGAAAAATTTTCTTGATGCATTTGTCTGTGAAGGATAGGGAATGGTAAAGGTTGAATCAGACTTCTTCAGCCGTTTGTTTCAAAGCTGTCTTCCTTTCAGTAGATCCAGATTTACCCTGCAATTAATGACCATGGGCAGCACAGAGGCTGGCAAGACAGTCGTGTCTGTTGGCACGTCAGTGCTTGTATTCAGCACACTCAGCATTCATTTCCATGTTCTGACTTCTGCTTTCTCACTCCTCAGTGTGGATTTTTCAGTTAAAGCCAGTCACTAATCTTTGCAGATATTTAAGAAATTTGTCTTGCAAGTTGAAGGGATAACAGGATGAGTTAGCTTCAGGCTCCCCTCTCTTGTCTACTGCAATGCCTGCAACATCCAGACAGCCTAATTTTCCCCTGAGCCCTGGTGAGGCAAGTGGGATAACAGAGGCAGGGACAGAGGAGAGCTCTGGAGAGCCTGCGGGCCAAAGGAAAGCAAGTGGGAGAGGAGCAAGGCTGCATGAGAAAGGATGGAAGCTGAAAGGGCCTGGTGTCTATACATAGTCTGATTTGATGTGAGAGCATGTGCTGAGAGTGAAAAAAAGACTCAGTGATTTCAAAGAATTCAAGTACAACTGCAAATGGATTTTAGTCCCCAGTGACTGCCTAATTTCATTTACAGACTGAAACTGAGAGAGAAAGGGATGATTCCCCACCTGAGTAAGCAACATGCTTGTGTTTAAATCTGTTCCAAATGTGTTCAAGTCTGGCCCCATTGTCAGCTCCCCTTTTTTACAAGGCATTTAGATGAGACAAGCTACTGCTTACAGATGCACCTTTTCATACTTGTCCTTCACCTTTTATGTTTTCTGTTTGAAGGATCTGGAAAAACTTTTGTGGCACTTATGATTTGTGAACATCATTTGCAAAACATTCCATCAGGACGAAAGGCAAAAGTTGTCTTCCTTGCAACCAAAGTGCCAGTGTATGAGCAACAGAAAACTATATTCAGGCAGCATTTTGAAAGAAGTGGGTAAGTGTAATTCTACCTGGTGGCTCCCTCCACAGAAGATAAACTGCCCTATAGGTCAGCTGTGGCTAGGGCAAGATGTAGTGGGTTTGCTGGTGAACAAGAGTGCTTGACAGTGTTATCAGGATGATGCATAGCTGCAAGAATGGCATTGCTGTGGCAGACTTTTTTTGGAGAATTTGAAGTCTGGTTTTGGAGAGTTTAAGCACTCATTGTTGCACATCTATGGAAATGGCGGAAGTATTTCTGTACATAAAGGGTGGGGTGTGTTCTCTCTTGAGACTCCTTTCACGCCTGCTTCCAAAGCTGATGCATTTCCTGGCAGCAGCAGTGAGGTTCCTCCTGCCATTCTGTCTCTTTTCTCTAAATGGAAGGACCCAAACTTCTTTGTTTTTTCAACCTCTAGTCAGAAAATGATAGTTCATCTCTCATTCGAGACTGCAGATTGCTTAGAGGGTCATTAACAACCTATATCTTCTGATTTTGAGTGAACATCCCTGATTTGAGGTTACTGAACATCCACATATGTATCCTTTTAGCTATGGGAAAAGGAGGCTGCTGGGCAGAAACAGTCCCATGATGTCAGACATGTACACAAAAGGGATGTTACATGTGAACTGACAAATGCAACTTAAATATACAAGTTAATCATTCCTTAAATATGATATATTTTTGTTAATGGTAGTTGAAAATTCAGTTATTTACCTTCAGCTTTTTTTTTTTTCCCCTCAGTTTCTGTGGTCAAACTGCCAGCTTTAACTCTTTGATATTTGAAACTTAGTAACTGCCTTTCAAGCTTGCTGAAAAGCCCATTTTTCTAGCTTTCCTTGTCCTGCAAGATATCCTTTTTCATACTGTTTTTTTGCATCTTCTTTCCAGATACTCTGTTCAAGGAATTTGTGGTGAAACAGTTGCAAATATCTCTGTAGAAAATATTATACAGGACAGTGACATCATTGTGATAACACCCCAGATTCTTGTGAATAGCATGGAGAAAGGGATCCTTAGCTCCCTCTCCATCTTCACTCTGATCATATTTGATGAGTGCCACAACACTACAGGCAACCACCCTTACAATGTGTTGATGACCAGGTACCTGGATGAAAAATTTGACTCCTCTGCAAACCAGCTGCCTCAGGTAAGGCCCAGCCCATCAGGGGTGGAAACGCTGGAGGAAAGTGTTCTGCAATGTAGTCAGCAAAGTCTTGCCTTTTGTGCTGATCCAGTTCAAACTCCCATTTAACAATGGCTGCAAATGGAAATGGTAGAATCTGGAACATTTTTTCATTCTTGGACACTTCCAGGCTTTTTTTCCCATGTCACATCTTCCCTGCAGCTGCCAAGAAAGACTGATCAAACATGACAAAGAGTGGAGTAGTTGAGAGCAAACAGAAGAGCTGAACTGTGAGGAAAGCATGCAGTTTAGTAATCCCCTTGTTACCTCGCTATTGCTGTTTTCTGCACTAGAAAATGGGGCCATTGCCTCTGCTGGTCTGAGGTTTTCATCCAGCTGGGAAGACACCTCTGAATGAATGCAAAGGATGGGTCTGGGTGTGGGTTATGGATTTAAGTGTCTTTAAGTTTAACCCACTTTCTGAGTGGATTTAAGTTTATTTATTTATTTAAGTTTATTTTAAGTGTAAATACTCTAAGTTTGAGTGCCTTGAAGACGGCATGAGTACATACAGGTATTGGGTCTTAGGATTTTGTGCCTACTGCTTGTTTACTTCTGCTGCCTGTTTTGTTTCCATGTTTTTGACGATGGTGGCAATTTGGTAACAATGTCTCCTGGTTTTATTCCATTTGTGACAAAGGAGCTATTCATGTGTGTGTTTAGATTGTAGGTTTAACTGCTTCTATTGGAGTTGGTAATGCCAAGAGCACTAATGAAACTGTAGAGCACATCTGTACCCTCTGCTCCTACCTTGACATACAGACAATATCCACTGTCAGAGTGAACAAACAAGATCTGCAGAGGTTTGGAACCAAGCCAGAAACACGTAAGCACACTTCCTTTTTTATTTTCCTGTGAGTTGCAAAGCACCATGATTATGGCAGCTACCCAATCCCCCTTTTTTTTAGATTAAGTTAAAAACTTCAGACTCAGCTAGGGGTTTACTTTCTACTAGCTTGAAAGAAGTTTAGGTTTGCAATCTCCTGCAGTAAGGCAGTGCCCACTTGGATGTCTTTTCTCTTTGCTGTTGATGCACCGTCTCTAGTTTTTATTCAGTTCTTCCAGTGAGGATTTGGGGCTGTTTTTTCTGTGCACCTGCAGTGCTTATTAACAATAAATTTGATTATGATTGCATGGAACACCATTTGTAGCATTCTTCTAGACAAGAATTTGTTCTGTGCTTCCTGAGGAAATGTTTTACTTACTCAGCACACTGACTTACGTTTCTCTTCTCTAGATATCAGATGGGTTAAAATGCGAGCTCAGAATCATTTTGCAGACATTATCTCAGGTCTGATGTCTGAGACGGAGGTGTTGATGAGGAAGATTTATTCAGTGGGTAAGATGCTCAAATATGCCTGTATTGCAGTTCAGTATTTGATTAAATTAGAGTGAATCCTTATAGCTGCTAGGACGCTCTTTTCACTTCCTATCTCCTTCATTTTTAGTTGTATTTAGTCAATATTTCCTCAATAAGAGATTACAGATAAGAGATTCAACTGTTTTCCTGTTATACCTGATTTGTCTGACATTCATAAACATATTTGCTTGAATTTCAGCCTGTTACTTGCAACTAAAAACAGTGTACTTTTGAGTGTCAAATCCTTCTGAATTTAAAGAATTGGAAACAAAAGGGCTTGCATTCAAAATGCGGTGGGCTGGATTTCATTGATGAGAGATATCTGTATGTTCTTATTTAAACATTTCTCCAAATCCTTCACACCCAATCTGTCTCTGTTAGGAAAATGAAAAACATCACAGTGGTATTACTCTCAATGTTGTCATTTTTTCTGTACAGCAGAAGTTAATTTTCACACCTGCTGCCCTGACACTTCTCATGTTTTCTCTTGTTTCGGAGCTGCACTTGGAGATTGACACATTTCTAGGGTTGCCCTGGCCACCTTTTCTGGTCAGCATTCTGTCCTCTTTATTCTTCTGGGTACTCCTGTTTCCACTTTTTACCGGGTCTCCACTATTTTCCTTTGAAAAGCCCTTGAGGTAATGTTTCAGTAGGATCTGTGCAACATGAACATCACTGGAGAGAGGATATGGCTGCCCAAGAAAGGAAGGAAACAGCTGCCAGTAAGGTTCCAGCTTCAGGAGCTACTCTGATGGGAGGGTTTGCTGAGAGCAGATGCATGATTGTGAAAACAGGTCTCATGATCATGAGGTTAATTCTATAACCCTTCAGAAATTAATTTATCTTTTCTGCTTTTGCAGAGTTCCTAAGTGGTGTCCAGTAAGTGGCTTTTATAAAAAATTGGAGAGCAGAAGGGGGTACAAGGCAGAGACCCATTAATGGATATGTTCAGGATCAGCCTTGGTCTCTCCAGCTCTGGACTGAAGGACATTGTCTGTGCTTAGACTGGCTTTTGTACATTGACTGCAGTGCCTTAAACCTGTTTGCCTCAGTTCTAGATTTCCCCCCTTCTCTCCACTTCCCAGATATTTGAGAGTGAACTATATTCTGGGGCAGGAAGGGAGAATTAAAACCCCCACACAACCAAATTAAAAAACACAACAAACCAACCCCAAACCCAAGAAGCCTGATCAAAGAACAAAGACAAAAAGATTCTCAAAATGCATGTTACATTAAGCAAACACTTCTGAAACTTATTTTGCATCACAGTTCCTCTTGCATGAGTGGCAGTGGCTTCCCTTCTGTGGACCCTGTGGTTACTGAAGCCCTTGAAGCACTCAGGCAGAGTATGGATGCAGCAAACAGCTACTGCCTAGTTCTGCCTCAGGGACAGCCCCTTGGGCAAATATGCTTCTGGACTATTTAATGAATGACTATAAACTATTGAGTAGCTGGTAATTCAAGGAACAGTGTACATGCTACGATTTTTATGAATACTGTAGGCTTTTTACAGGATAAATGAGCTCTAATTTTATTACTAAAGTCACTGCAGATGTGTGTATATACACAGATCCTCAGTTGAATTGTACTGGGTTAATTTTGTGCTATCATCTGGGTATATATTTGGTATATATAGGGAGCGAAGAAAACAGAGCCAGACTCTTCGCAGGTGGTTCCCAGAGGCTGGACAAGAGGCAGTGGGCACAACAGAAATATTTAAGTAACAGGAAGAACTTTTTTGCTGTAAGGTGGTCAAACACTTGCCTGAAGAAGTTCTAGACTCTGTCCTTGGAAGTACTCAAAGCCCATTTGAACTGAGTGACCTGCTCTAGGGTGATATGCTTTGAGCAGAGGGTTGAACTAAAGACCTCCACAGCTGCCCTCCAGCCTCAGTGGTTCTGTGATTGTATTGAAAAATTGTTCTTTTGCATAGGCTTTTTAGAGCAAATATTAGTGGGAAATGTGTTATCCTCTAGCTAATGCTTTTTATTTGTTATTCAAGATGAACAAATTTTTTTCCTCTCCTTTAATAGATACCATCTCCCAAATCAACAAGAATTACTTTGGAACACAGAGATATGAACAATGGATAGTTTCCACTCAGAAGAAATGCAGACTGTTGCAACTGGAAGATAGGGAGAAGGAGAGCAGTATTTGTAGAGAACTTTTCATTTGTACTGAACACTTGCGGGTAAATGTGCATCCTCTTTCCTTCCCTGCAGAGTCATTCTGTTCCTTCCAATATGGGTATGTTCACCTAGAAGCAGATTTTGAACCAGTTGTTCTGTTTAGAATCATAGAGTATACGCAGAGTTGGAAGGGACCCCCAAGGATCATTGGCTCCAGCTCCTGTCCCTGCAGAGGACACCTTCACCATGAGCCCAAGAGCATTGTCCAAGCACTTCTTGAGCTCTCTCAGGCTTTGTGCTGTGACCACTTTCCTGGGGAGCTTGTTCCAGTGCCCAAACCATTTTCTGGGTGAAAAACCTTATCCTGATATCCAGCCTAAACCTCCCCTGACTCAGCTTCAGGCTGTTTCCATGAGTCATGTCACTGGTCACCACAGTGAAGAGATCTGTACTTGCCTCTCCACTAAGTGAGGATGTTGAAGACTGCAACAAGTTGACACAGGCTAAGGCATAACGCATGTAAAAGTTGTCTCTGTGATACTCTTCAGGGGCAGATCAGTGCAGAGGAGACTTCACAGTGCTTGTGTTGTCATGGAAATGGAAGAACACCACAAATTTACAACACTTAATCTAGCTAAATAAAATTTGTGTTCATCCCACCCCATGGAAGATGAGCTCTAAATGTGTGTGTCTCTTTCCATGCAGAAATTCAATGATGCTCTCATTATCAGTGAAGATGCCCGCATTGAAGATGCTTTAGCCTACCTAAAAGAATTTTTCACAAATGTGAAAAATGGACCATATACAGAGTTAGAGAAGCAGCTGACGGAGAAATTTCAAGGTATTTCCCACAGTACCTGTGACAGTTGCTGGGGAAAAGAGAGCTTATGGTAGGATGGTCCAGGTGTTTATTTCAGAGTAAGTGCAGTTGTTTTTCCAGAAACCACACTTTCCAGAAGATGTGGTGACTGCATGGGTGCAAGTGCCGTGTTAAGGCAGCTGAGGGGGACTAAATTTCTGGGACTGTAAGCTTCTAGTGCAGAAGCTGATGAAATAGTAATAGTTGTAGCTAGATGCTGTAATAAGTTCCTACATGCCTGGCTCGGAGATATGGCAGCAGTGCCCTTATGGCTGTGCCCCACAAGTAGGGGGATGGTCTACAATCATGAATGCTGCTAGCATTAGATAAGCCAACATACACTGCTCAGTGTACTGCCTAGCCTCCTGGCTTCCCCATTCTTCTGGGGAGAAACAGGTGTACCCTTCTCATTGGAAGTTAGAGGTTGTCACTGTGCTCTGACTTCCGATTTAGTGAGCAGTGGGCTATATTCCAGCCTGTGGTCTGGTGTGTTACCATGTTGACTGCAATTTTAAATCACTGGGTGGTCTGCCCTTGAGTGTCAGTTGTTTTCTAAGAAGAAATAGCACAAGAGCTAAGTTTGTTTTGTTGCTGTCCTTTGATACACAGTACATCGCAGAAGTTCTCTTGTCAGTTTGATGCAAAGTGTGAGATATTCATAATTTTGTTTTTTTCTGGGGATTCTGTTGCATTTAAACCAACAGATTTCCCTGCTTGCATATGAAAGCATATTATTTCAAACAGAACAGAAAATAGAAGAAGGTAAAAGAGAATGTGTGTGCTGTTTGAAAGTAGGTTTGTGTGGAAATTCTGCTTTCTGCACTATAAAAGGTAAATTTTGCAAGAAACCTTTTTTATTTTTTCTTTCAGAGAAAGAGCTAGAGCTCACTGCTCTTTCAAAAGATGAGTCAAATGAGAATCCAAAGTTGGAAGAGCTCACTTGCATCCTGGACGAAGCATACCACTATAACCCAGAGACTCGCACTATTCTCTTTGCCAAGACAAGAGCCTTAGTAGCTGTACGGCATTTTCTTTTAAAACTCCTAAAATGGGAAGCGGGGAAAAAAATTGCCTCATCTATTACCCTTCACATTTTGATCTGAAATAGAAGAATGTGCATGTATTTGATCTTTTTATTATACTGTGTCCACCTAAGCCCTGATGCTCTGAGGCAGGATGAGTGACAGTTTTTTTTCTTGTTCTGAAAACTACAGTACAGCTATGGTGTCCTTCATGACATCTAACTACGTGTTGTAGCTGATCATTAAGCCATCAGATTTTTACTTTTGGTCTAAAGTCAGTTACAACAAGATGTGTTTTAAGGGTTTTGGCTTTCAGGTATAGTGGTGTTATGAATTGGCAGCTTTACTGCATTACAGGCTGCACATCAGGAGGTATTTATAAATTTCTCAGAGGATTCCTATAGACCTAAAGAAGGTCTGTGCCCTAACACCTGTTTTTTGATCAAGAAAAAGGAAAAACTTTGTGCTGCAGATGTTTTCTGGACTCTTCGTATCACTGGTCTATTTCATACTTGCCTATGATTGAGGATCTAGGCTGGATGATGCTTTTTTTCCCTTGCAGTACCTTGATCCCAGAAAAGGTTTGTGCTTGAAGTTAATGTTCTCCTAATCACTAACATGAGTAGATGAAAACATTTACTGCAAATATCAGCTGTCTCTGTCTACTGTAAACAGATTTATCAGCTGAACAACCAAGCCCCCCTTTTTATCCTTTTCATCCAGACATGCTGGATGAGTTGCAAATCAGAAAAAATTAAAAGCAGGACGAAGTCAAAACTAACAACACCAAACATCAGCTGGTGGCTTTCCATTTTAGATTTAAAAGCCTACAGTAGCTTGGCTGAATTTTGTTCTTCTGTAAGAGCAGTTTGAACATGCTATTGTCACTGTGTAGCAGAAGTCCAGTTTGTAAATAACAACTACTTTCCTTCGATGGCAGAGGTGTAGCATTCAGTGACCTGTTAGTTTATTAGGGAAAAATACAAACTTTTTAGCAGTGAAAGGCTACTTGCTCTCTAGCCAACTTTGAAGTTGCAGGAGTAGGAAAATGGTAAATCAGTCTGGCATGGTTTAATCTGGCATCATGGTGTGACCCTTGCTTTCTTACATATTAAAAAATATTCTCTCCTGACAAGGAGAGTTACATCTTGCTTTCTGCTCATGGGTCTTCTTTTGGAAGAATTGAATGACTAGGCAAGCATAGGAAAGATCTGCCTACCTCAAACTAGCATTTCATCTGCACAGGGAAACTAACTCTGAGATTTGCTTTCCAGGCTTTGAAGAAGTGGATAGAAACAAACCCTGTACTTAGCCACATAAAGACAGATGTGTTGATGGGTAAGGGAAGAAGAGATCATAAAACAGGTACGCAGATTTGCACCGAGATATGCTAAACCAGTGGTGGCTATGGTGCTAAAGCTGTTCTGCTTTTCCTGTGCTCATGTTCTGTGCCCTTAAACAGAGGAAGGTCATAGGGGTTTGCACTTTCATTCTTCCATATCTGGAAGTCCTTGAATGGATCCTAAGGACATGCTTGCCTTTTCTCTCCAGAATCTTTGGTTAAAGCAGCAGTAATACCATCAGTGATACTTTTCTGCAGGACTCTTCTGCTGGTTCAAAAGCAGTTTAGAAATTTCACTACCATAACTTCTTGTGATTAATTCTCATATTACCTCTGTTACTTTTGTAGATCCCTCTCTTATTTTGTGTTTGTTGGCAGAAAGACATTATAAGATAGAATGGAAACTACAGCTGAAATTAATTACCTGTGGTTTAAGTTACGAGTTAGCTTGGGATTTAGCTAACTAAGCTGCATGGATGTCTCCAATAAAGATCATCTGGGTGTTGTGTCTAAAATGGTGTTTCCCAAGTTGATGATTTCTGTGTCACATCAAGAGGAATCCCTGGACAGTGGGTATAATGTACATATATACTGCATATATGTATATATATATATACATATGTATATAATGCTGCATATCAAACTTGAAGTGTTTTTCCAGATCAAAAGGATGTACTAATTGCTAATCACTTAAGTAAAATCAAATGTGGGTACCTTGCTCAAGGAGCTCTTCAGTGTTTTTCTCCTGACACAGTTTCTTGGTACTGTAGGTATGACCCTGCCAATGCAGAGGGATGTACTGGATGCATTCAGAAATGATAAAAACATCAGACTGCTGATTGCTACATCTGTTGCTGACGAAGGCATTGATATTACTGAGTGCAACCTTGTGGTGCTCTATGAATACTTCGGTAATGTCACCAAAATGATCCAAGTCAGAGGTATGGAATTTCTGAGCTTTTACTTTAGAAACCTGTTTTGACCTAGAAATGGACGTGAAATGCTACTAAATACTGCAGTAGTATGTGCATGCCTTGTTCCTGTGTGCCTTTGAGCTAAGTCAGGTGAATGATGGGACATGATAAATTAGTTCACACAGCCTAGTCCTTGATGTTGTCTGACTGCTCTTTTGCCAGGGAAAGCAAGGTTAGCCATGCTGCACAAGGTTATTGAACTGTTGAGGACTGGTACCTCAAGTAGACAATTACACATATAAGCACAACTATGGCTAGAAGAACTGTTGTCAGAAATATTACAAATCATTCAAAAAATTTACAAAGGACTGCTGCAATGGAATTTCTTGTATTGCCTTGGCTTCTGAAGGCCTTCCCCAGCTGGTTGGTTTATTACCAGCCCAGCTCCCAGGTATAGGAAGCCTTCGCCTGTGCAGATCTCTAATATTTATGACCAAAACAAAGACACCCTGTTTCTGTCTTCCCTGCCTGTCCACAAAGTCTGTCATGACTACTGGCCATACTGTAAAATTTGGTGATTTTACAGTATGGCCAGTAGAGGGGAATGAAAAGCCACACTAAATACTGATTTCTGCCTCACATTCCTGAACAGTGTAAAACTGCCTACTCTTTTAAGGGTACATCTGAAATATTTTATCATATTTTCCAAGCAATTAACATCATAGTTTATATGTATTATAGTTATATATATAAGTTATATAATATATATATAACTTATATATATAAGTTATATCCATTGTACTTACTTATATCCATTGCATTTCTTTCAGGGTTTGTGTGTTGTGACCTTCTTATCTGTGTTTTATGGGACCAGAATGGACTTTTATGGAAAATAAAGTGTTTATTATTAAGAAGCCATTAAAGGTGCAAAGAAAAGAGGTTATGTCAGTTTCAAACCACATACAATCATGATTTTTGTGGAGTAGAAGCTCAAAAGAAAACATAAACACTTTTTATAACCAAAATACTGCTAAACTGGTATTATCAGTTTAATGTAATTAAATATTACTTTAGCTATGTGTCTGTCTGTGTCACAGCTTTAATAAACAGGCAGGCAGTAGGCACAGTCAGGTAGAAGAGAAGGCACTTGCCGTTGTCTATGTTCTTGTCAGCACTATATTTCCAGTTCCTTAGGTTTTTGTGATATACGGGGGTTTTGGGGTTTTTCAGACACCAAGAAGTTGACGGAGATCAACTTTTCTTTTATATATATATATATATATATATGTATATTTTTAAATTTTTTTTTAAATGACAAGAAGACAGCAAGATGCTGCACCAAAATTTTATTTTAAAGCATGCCTGAACTCAACACAGGGAGGCCACAGAAGCAGGCAATACAGTGCCTGTGTGTATATATATATATATATACTGTATATGTATACTGGCTAGGGTATATCCATGAGGATACCTGGACGGGGGATCTTGTTCTGGTTTGTTATTGAAGAATGCTCTTCAGAAGCAGCATTATCTGAATCTCAGAACATTGCAAACAAAAGCAGCCATGTGGAAGGCCCTTAATAGTCTTATGGCAGACCGGTCACTTTTGTGCACATGTTGTTAAGAGTAACTAAAGAGCATAAATGTGTTGCTATGTAGGTCGTGGAAGGGCAAGAGACAGCAAGTGCATCCTTGTGACAAGCAAAACAGAAGTGGTTGAGAATGAAAAACTAAACAGTTACAAGGAAGAAATGATGAATGCAGCTATTGAAAATCTACAGAACTGGGATGAAACAACGTTTGCAAGAAAGGTTTGTGATTTGCGTGGTTTTCATACTTAGATTATAAAGGCATAATCTATATCAGCCTTCATCTACTAAGGCTGTATGTAGGGCCAAAGGATAACCCAAGGGAAGTGTTCATTTTACTTGATTTCTGACAAAGGCTAGGTCAGAAGAGAAGGGATAGTATGTACTGTCAGTTTGCGAATATCAACTGTACAGTGAGGTAGAATTTATAATGTGTTGCTTATGAAAAAAGAAAGCCTCCAACTCCCACATCACCCATGAGTCTATCTCGGGCACAGTGTACAAAGAAATAGTGATGTTTTGCAGCTGAAAATCAGAGGGGCCAAAGCCCAGCTGGATACTCATATGGACCACCACCACGCACTAAAGAAAAATCCCCATTCTTTATTGGTCATGGGGGAAACATAGTGACAAAACGAAGAGAAGAAACTGAGGTGCTTAATGCTTTGTTTGCCTCTGTAAGACTGGTTGTCTTTCAGAGGAGAACAAGGCATTAAGCGCCTCAGGATATCCAGCCCCCTGAGCTGGAAGACAGAGATAGGGAGCAGGATGAAGGCCCCACAATCCAAAAGGAACAGGTTAGTGACCTGCTACACCACTGCAATGCGCACAAGTTTATGGAGGCAGATGGGATCCACCTAAGGGTAGTGAGAGGGTTGGTGGAAGAGCTCATCAATCCACTTTCCAGCATTTATCAGCAGTCCTGGATAATCAAGGAGATCCCAGGTGACTGGAAGTTGGTCAGTGTGACCACCCATCTACAAGAAGGACCAGGAAGATCCAGGGAACTACAGCCCTGTTGGCCTGACCTCAGTGCCAGGGAACATTATGGAGCAGATCATCTTGAATACTATTACCCATCACATACAGGACAACCAGGGATTAGGCCCACCTGGAATGGGTTTATGAATAGCAGGTCCTGCCTGAGCGCCTTGATTTTCTTCTGTGACAGTGTGACCCACCTAGTGGATGTGGAGAAGGCTGTGGTTGGTGTTTGTCTGAACTTCAGTAAGGACCTTGACACCATTTCCCACAGCATTCTCCTGAAGAAACTAGCTGTTCATGGCTTGGATGGGTGCCCTCTTTGCTGGGTAAACAACTGTCTGGATGGCTGGGCCCAGAGAGCAGGAGTGACTGGAGTTAAATACAGCTGGTGGCTGTGTATCGGTGGTGTTCCCCGGAGCTCAGGGGAGCCTGGAATAAGGCAGTGGCAGGTACTACTAACAAAAAAGCTTTGTACATAGTTCTCCCATACCCCCTTGGACTCACAGATCATCCTGTGTTTCCAGACGAGCTTTCAGAGATTAAGCTGTGCAACAAAGGGTACCCAGGGCCCCCTGGTCTTTGTGACGTTTCCTCTCCCACCTCCGAGCCTTGGTGCAGTTGCTCCTGCTTTTTCTCAGAGGATTCCGATTCTGCATTTGGTTCTCAGCTCCAGGCTGTACCTTGTTGTTTCTCTCTCTGCCTCCAGTTTCTGTGGTCTCTCTAGCTTTCTTTCCGAACCATGAGATTCCCAGAGCAGCAGCGTTAATTCTGCTGCAGGGTCTCACATGAATTAAGTGTTCACACCAACACAGCAGCCTTAAGACCAGAGGGGCTGTTGGGGGCTAGAAGGGAGGGAGGAACAAACCGCATAAGTGCTGTCCATCACGTAGTCTCATTCTTGCCCTGCATTCTAAATTGACAAATGTACCCTGTTCTTTCTTGGTGTGTGTTGCCAGAACAAGGTTTGTTTTGTTTTGTGGGCTTTAAGTAATAGGTTCCTAGATTTTATGTGCCCAAAGTCATGTTTAGGCTGACATTGGGACTTCATTTCATAATGATCTCGGTTTTTATTTATTTATTAAAGATACATGGCCTTCAAATGAAGGAAAAGATACTACGAGATTCCAGGAAGAAAGAAACAAAACAGAAAGTAGTGGAAGGGAAGAAAAATCTCTTGTGCGGAAAATGCAAAGCATATGTCTGCAGTACAGACGACATCAGAGTCATACAGGTATGTTTCTGTACAGAAACACAACCATGACCAAGAGGGAAGTCAGCATCACTGAACTAGTTGCATTGTTTATCAGTGTGGAAGTGGGCTATTTTGTGCAAACCGGAGAACAGAAATTCTGAGTAAATAAGTAAACCACAGGTACAGTTGTGACTACTTCTGTAGTATGATATGATATATGATATATATGATATATATGATATATTGTCCAAGGTGTGCAAATATGGGATAGAGTAGGAATCACTTCAGTGAAGCCCTTCTGACAAATTCTGTTGAAAATCCCCTGATCTTCAACTACATAACTTCCTAGAGTTACTGCTGGATATTTACTTTCCTGAAGAAGACTCTCTGCTGTTGAGATATTTCTCCCACAATTTCTGTTGACTGAAAATTATCTACACAAAGTACTGGGATCAGCTTACAAACTCTTTGTCTAATGGGACAGTTTGAGTTTTGAAAAGCAAAGTAAACCATGGTTTCATGAGAAGAGTCCTACAGTTTTTCAGTACTATTTTGTTTTCCATTCTGTAGGTGTAGTTGACGTTGCTTCTATGCATATCCTAGGGACATTTTGATTGTACTCTTTCTGAACATATTTTCTCTGTAGACAAGGCAAAAGAAGGCAATACTCTTTTCAAACAGAAAGTAGTGATCAGGGAGGAGAGGCTTTTCTGAGCACTTTGAGCCTTTATTGTTCTGCCTTTTATACTTTATAAGCTGCTTCTATTTGTGCTGCTCTGAAAAGTGTAGTTGCAATGTGACAAGGCCACAGCTGAGCATTACCATGTGTGCCTTCAGGCCCTTGCCAAATTTTTGTTTGTTTTTACCAGCTGTTTGTGGAATGTAGATGGTACTTACTAGTACTCTGCAAGTAGCTGGGAATAGCTTGGCTTTGTGAAAACTTGGTTACGTTTCTTTGACAAAAAGCAAGGGTTATCTAAAGCACCTTTGACTTTTGCTCTATTTTGTGCTCCTGGCTTATCACCTATACCTGTGCAAATAGATCCAAGAGTTCAGAAAACTCTTCAGTAAGTGGTTTTGCTTAGCACTCTGCAAAAAACCCCTCAGTTTTCAAAATAATCCCTACAAGCTGCGTTTCCAGGAGGATCTACCATTTTTGTACTCAAGCACAGATTGTAAATATGCTTTCAAATAAGGCTGTTAATTTCTTTAATCCTTTATTATATGAGCTGTAAACATATACAACTCCTTTGTTAATTGTAATTCATTCTACCACTCCAAAGTAATCGTATGACCCCTCATGGGAAACAGGAGTCTCTCAAACTTGTCCATTGTCTGAATTACTCTTTTTGTTTCATGGCCATAGCTCAAATACTGCAAACACAGTTTTTAAACAGCTTACTAAATTCAAATATGTGTAAGCTGGTGACTGGGGATACACAGCAAATTTTTTTGGCTTTGACCCAAGCCCAGGCCTGGGTCCTACTAGTACCTGGTGTTCCATGAACGGGAGGGCGGGGAGGGGAAGAACAATGAGTCAAAAGAAGCTGGAAAGTGAGCCTCCTGGACAATAGCAAGTGCCTTAATAGAGAGAACATGTTTTTGAGAAAGGAAGGGAAATGACAAGAAAAAATGAAGAATGTTGTTTCTAATATTAAGTGTTTCTGGCATGTGTTGTTTCAGGAATCTCATCACGCTGTCCTTGGTGATGCGTTCAAGGAGCGTTATATAACAAAGCCCCACCAGAAACCAGTTCGGTATGATGGTTTTGAGAAAAAAAGCAAGATGCATTGCCGCAATACTGAATGCCAGCATGACTGGGGGATCACAGTGAAGTACAAGACATTTGATAATCTACCAGTGATCAAAATCAAAAGCTTTGTACTAGAGGATGTTGAAACTGGGACACAAATGGATTTTCAGAAATGGAAAGACATTAATTTTTCTTTGAAGAATTTTGATGAAGAAGCATCCAACTGAATTCAACATTTTAATTTGAGATATTGTTCTAGTGCACTATGCTGAAATAGCAGGTGGTCAATTTTCTAAAAAAACTTTCATTCTTTCTGCTAGGCCCCTCACCTGCATCTGGCTAGATTGTAAAAGGCTGGTAAAGCCACTGAAAAACAGTATTTGCTATATAATGAGATACTTAACCTGAAGTTTCACTAGAAGGACAAATACATGTCTAGGTGTCTAGATCCAAATCATTATGGCTATGACTAACCTGGTCTGAAAAAAAATAAGATCAAGTAGAATGACTGACTAAATATCCAACTTTAGGTGACAGGCTATACTTTCAAGAACTGAGGTGCAAATCAGCATCTTTTTGCTGCTACTAATGTGTTGTTGGACTGCACATCCTTGCAAACAACACGGCTTACTAGCACTTCAGGCACTACTCTAGATACTTTTGAAACTTAAAAAAGTTACTTTTAATGTTCTAGATGTAGATATATAAAATTGAAAGAAAAATGCCCAGTAGCTTTACTGTAAGGAAGACACTACATCTCTTGAATCTATCTTTAATAAGAAATGCTTCTGCAACAGTAAGAAATGCAGCAGGGCAGAGCCCTCTTGGGGATTAAAATGGTAACATTTTTTCATATCACTGCACCTTGATCGAGTTGCAGTTGGTCAAGTTGCAACACCCTCCTGTGCTGCTGAGCTGAACAAGCCCTAATAGAGACAAGACAGTGCCCTGGATCATGGGTGGAGGTTCAGTTTTGATGGGGATTAGGACTCACCTGGATAACCTGTTTTATGGACTACCCAGATCCCAGACTTCTCTAAGAAAAACAGAAATCTCTACAGAGTTATGAAATGCTATACTTGTACGGTCTAAAGCACGTGATGATCCTATACATTTTCAAGCTTAGTATTCATTATTTCTAGAACCAAAACCAAATTCATTTTAAGTTCACTTTGTGTATTTGACAATGTGGTATGGTGTGTATGTGCAAGAATTATGTTACAAAACACTGGAACTAATTAAAAAAAAAGAACAAAAAACAAAATGCAATCCTGCCTCCCTTTTTTTAAGAGTTAAAAAATTATCCTAAATTTATGAGTTCAAAAAAGTTTAAATTTTTGCCTAAATCCTACTCAGTGAGACTTGTGTTCTTGTAAAGTGTTGCATTAAAAGCAAAATAACTTTATAAGCACTGCTTCATGTTCCATCCCAGTCCGTGGCTTTTACTGTGAAAGCTGTATGCACTGTATGGGAAGGCTGGATCTCAGTCCTACAGTAACTTCCTCTGTACTTAGTTTTTACCTAAAAGGAAACACAGAACAATGAATAAAGATGATTTATGTTTAGATAATGCCTCCCCTCCAAAAATACTAGGAACAAAATACTTTTGAAAAAGGTTGGTTTAGCACTGTCAGATTAAAAGTAAATGGAAAAATCACAGTTCTTAAATATCAAATTGCTCTGTGAAAAGACCATCTGCTTTGGGACCCTGCATAAAAAAATAATCAGTCCAAAATTCCAGTTTATGGTCGTAACTACTGGGAAGTTGAAATTGGAAAGTTTTGTTATTTTCATAGTCTTTGAACACAAGGATTTCAGACTAAACTCTACAACCTCTCTTGGCAATCTCCTCCCGTCAGTGCTTGGTCCCTCAGAGTGAAAAAGTGTGTTCTGCTGTTCACAGGAAACGTTGTGTTTCACACTGTTTGTGCCCACTGCTTCTTGCTCTGTCATTAAGCATCACTGAAAAGAGCCTGGCTGCATGTTCTTTTGTGCCCTCCATTCAGATATTTGTACACAAACAGCAGAGATATCCCTGAGCCTTCTCATCACTGGACTAAACAGTCCAGGCTCTCAGCTTCTCCTCATGAGAGACACTTCAGACCGTGCAACATCATGGTGGGCCTCTGACAGATTTACTAGAGGAGCTCTCCAAGACCAAGGATAAAATGGCAGAACCACCAAACTTTTTAAAAATAAATTTAATTTTATTTATTAGAAATATCCCCAATAAGTCCACCTTTCCATAAAGGCTTAGATCTTAAACAGAGTTCACATTTTTTAAAATTAATAAGCAGCTAAATAATTTCAATATTAGATTCAGATTCTGTTTAGCTGAATAAGAAAGCAAGTCAGTGTCAGGTAATCAGAAAGGAATAAATTTTTTTTTATACTGTCAGTTAATTTCTAAGTCACTAATGAGAGCATAGAACTTAACTTCAGAGTCAAACTAAGTGGATCAAATACATGAAATCAGCTCGTGATCTTCAATGGTTCTACAGATGCCAGCAGCATTTTAATGACTTTTGCACTGTGTTCTACAGTAAGTCAAGCCAATTGCCATACAAAACAGTTAAGAAATGCTGTTTACTCTATATGGGTGTGTCCAGTTTCTTGATACACAGAAAAATTCAGCACTGTAAACAAGCCTTCTAATACAATCGACAGAAAAAAATTGCTCACTTTATGGTTCACACTTCGAAATGCACGATTACTATAGTTTCACTGTGGTCAGGAGAAGCAGGCTTGTACCTGGACCTTTTTGCTTAATCTTTTTTTGATTAGGATGCCATTTTCCGGATCATGTAGTTCAGAATGCCGCCATTGTGGAAGTAAGTAAGCTCCACATCAGTGTCAAATCTCATGATTGCATGAAAGGTTTTCCCGGTGTCCAGCTGTTAGGGTCAAAGAAAGTCATTCAAGCAGCAGAACCTTGCACATGTTACTTGATATCATAGTAAAATAAGGACTACTAGGATAGTTTTGCTATCTTAAAAAATTGTGATAGAAAGCTAAAGTGAACAGGCACCAGTACTTCTATCCACACTAGACTGCAGGAAGCTGCTTGAGAAGAAAGTGGTTTAAAACAGAGCATAACAAACACAGTATGGCATCTCATTGCATTTGCTGCTTCATCTATAACTGAGAAATTTATAGTGGATTTTGAGTGACTGGTCCAAAAAGACAGGATGGCTTTGTGTTAATTAAAACAGTTTGAGCATCCTGCTTTTATATCCTGTCATAGTAAATCACAGAATGGTTTGGGCTGGAAGGGACATTAAGGATCATCTAGTTCGAACCCCCACTGCCATGGGCAGGAAACATTCCCACAAGAGAAGGTTGCTCAAAGCCTTATACAACCTGACCTTGAACCCCTCCAGGGAGAAGGAATCCACAGCTTCTCTGGGCAGTAGTTCCACTGCCTCATCTCAAATTATTCCTTGTATCTAAGCTAATTATATCTTCCTCCAGTTTAATCCCTATTAGAATGACTCTGTCAATTTCCTTCACCATCTCAGTTTTCTCCCACTTAAAACTCTGGTTTAAGTGAATCTGACTGCCATATGTCTTGAACAGCAAAACATGTGACAGCATATGTTTTGAAGAGACTAATAATTCAGAGTAAAATTAAGTGATTCAGAAATTCTGCTCTTACAAGTCTCGTACCTTAATCTGGACATTCATCTGTGGTCTTAGTTTTTCAGGAATGATAATCGTGTAACGCTCCCGTCCAGTGAGTCCTAAAGTTCCTGCATCCTCTCCAGGTAAATACTGCAGAGGAATCACTCCCATTCCTACTAGGTTGCTTCGATGAATTCTTTCATAGCTTTCAGCAAGCACAGCCTTGACACCCTGGGAAATGCACAATAGGTTGAGTTATTTCATAGTTCATAACAGTCTTTCTGTACTCAAAAGGAGAAAAGTGGTTTGTTTGTGGTCCCCCCCATTTCATTTACCAGCTACTGTAGAGTCAGCAGGTCTGTCTGACAGCAAACTGTCCAGGATGACTTGATTGTACATTAACTTTCACACCTCTTTAAAAGAAGCCTGACTCAAAAAAGTAACATGTTTTCTCAGGAATCCTGCATCTACCTTAATAGGTCATATGCAGAGCACCACTAATCATTTCCACAACTCTTCCTAATTCAGTGTTGCTCTCCTGTAAGCATGCAGTTTAAATAATTTTGAAAATTTTACATGTTAATACATTTAACACAAAAACTCATTGCCAGAAAAAATCTCCGAACACCTAGATGAGCTTAAACACCAACTCTCATAAAACTTTCTTTAATAATGCAAGAAAGCTTGAATCAAAGTTCTTGCTGCAGTGTAAGACTGGACAGACAAAGAAAGAAATGGGTATTTCACTGTATGTGGATATCTATTTGGCTCCCATGGTGAAGCCATGCTAAATATAATTTTCACTGATACTCTTCTCTTACACTTTCTAGTTTCCTTGTAAGTGAGCTTAAGGATGCTGCTGAAAGCGGACCTATGGTTTATGGGGTTATGGAAAGTGGAAGTAAAAATTGGGCCTTTCTAGTGTGGCCTTGTGGATTTCTAGATGAAGATCGGTAAAGCCTTCCGGTCAGAACAAGATCTATTAATGTTAGATAGCTTTTGCAGATCTGCTGTGGCTCTTGGAGGCAGCTGAGATTTCAAAACAGCTCTTTCTACCAAAAATGAGAATGATCTACTCAGGATTTGGTTACAAGCTAGTGTTACTGACAAAAAAGTACACTGTTAATACTGTTCCCCTAGTTTACTGTTGCCACCCACCAAGAGGAACGGTCCTTTAGCAGCCCAGTCTCTGGAACTTCCTGCACCATATTCCTTCCCAGCCAGCACAATCAGAGGATGACCAGCCTGCTTGTATCTTTCTGCAGCATCAAACACATCCAGCTGGAATAAAAATGCCAAATGCTTTGTAAACTTTTTGCAGGTAGAAGCACAATTCCAGAGAAAGGAGGAAAGAGAATTGTCCCCACATAAACAATTGAAGCCCACAACTTCCACCAAGCAGCACTTTAAGGATATTGAACCATACAGCACTTTGTGGCTTCTAGTCTGATCTCATTCCCAACACAAACCTGCACCTTCCACTGGTGCTTTTACAGTGGTTACACTCACCACTGATGTGCCTGAAGGTGCATGTGACTGCTTCCCTGAGTCAGCTCCTGCCCCCTCAACTAGCTTTGCTTAGAAGGTACTGAAGTAAATTACTAAGCTGGTAAGAAGGAAAGCCAGCACTAATCCACTCGGTTGTCAGTGAGCCACAGTTTAGAGCAGCATGTGTACTTACAATTTCCCCAGAAGGGAAATGGATTGTCTGAGGTCCTTGTTTATCAATAAACTTGTTGACCAAGCGAATGTTTGCAAATGTCCCTCTGGCCATGACAGCATCGTTCCCTCTGCGAGAGCCGTAAGAATTGAACTCTCGAGGAGTCAAGCTATTAAGGGAAAAGTAGAAAGGAAGCTGTTGGTTTTAGACTAAAAGCACTTCGCTCTAAAAAAAGAAAGTAATAAACTGGTGTTTCTAAGGCAGGTACATATGTAGTTTCTACCCCAGCAGCAGTATCCAGTTAGCCAATATTTCTCCTTTGAGTTGTTTTGAAGGAAAAGTAATTTACAAATAGCTACACATTGGTCAGAAAAAGCAGTTTCCATAATAGTCTCAACTCTTGCCCTACAAACAGTATCCAACAGATGAAAGGATATAATTCACATTAACTCAGCAGACACAACACAATTTTTTTCTTAATTACTGGTCCCTGAAGATCCTTGTTATTTATACTATTATAACATCTAGAACAAGGGCACTGAACTGTGCTGAATATCAAAAAGGCAGCAAGAATCTCTGCTGCAAGTTGGAACTACAGAAGAAAATTTCACTTGCAAACAGAAATATGAGAATGAGGGGACACTCCAGCCTAAACAGCAAACAAAAATTGCACTGGAATGTGACAGAAAATTAGACTGTTTGCATTGGGCTACATCCAAACCACAGCTATGACATAAAATGTATCTTTTGTAATGCATGTAGGACTATTCAGATTTCCAAGTAACTGATAGCAGGGTGTGAGAGTCCAGAGCAGTTGGTTTTCAATATATTATGCTGTTTTAATCAATTATCTTTCCAAAATTATTAGGCCTAGTGAGTTACGTCTTTTTTTTTTATGTCAGTGCTGTTGCTCAAAACACCACTGAAGTTTTAAGAAGTGCTAAATCAGAGAATAAAAGCATTATATAACCTGTGAAGCTTGAATAGGTCAAAGTGGTAAGTCTTTGTCTTGCCCTAAGCTGAACCCCAAGTACTAAACTGACATTCTGGCCATAGAAAAAGATGAACATTTTACAGGAGTTTGGACTCCAGTCACAACAGATTCGCCAGTCATTGCAGCTGCACTGAAACTTAAACTTCTGGATATTCTGTAATGCCTAAGAGCCTAGATATGTGAAATAGTTGTACATGCTAGAAGAAATTAATATAAAACCCATTTTTGGCACTAATGAAAAT